GGACTGCAGAGCTAAGCGTAGGCATGTGCACGCAAGCATCATCTACATGAACAATATCTAGATGCGAATGTTCGAAAACAGGATTGTAGAGCCTAATTTTTATTTTTCCTAATTCACGTGTACTACACCCCCACCCCCACACCCTTCACCCCTCGCCCCACCCCGCTCGACAGCAGAATTTTTGGGTAAAAGTGGGAGAATTTTCAGGAAATTCTGGAAAAAGTGCTAGGGGGAAACCCAAGAAATTTTTCCGCTTCACATCATATGTGCCCCCCCCCCCGCTCGACGGAAAATTTTGGGTGAAAAACTGGAAAATGTGGGAAATTGGTAGGTAGGTGTTGGGGAAGGGGGGGGTCGTACCTACACCACCATTTCACACATCACGATGCGCTACCCTGACTTCAACTCACACAAAGCCGTTCGGCTGTCACGAGAAGAGCCGCGCATTCAAGGGAAAACGTGCACCACAAAATTCCCTTCTGCTTGTGGAACTATAGGGTAATGTCGCAGTACGAGCTGTTTCCACAAGGGCACATGTTACACCTTTTACCAATAGCTCCAGAACCCGTGGAAGCTCCCAAAAATGCGGCTGAGACGACCATCAAAATGTATCTAAAGAGACCCACCAGTAACCACTCTCGAGGCGTTGGGTATAGGGTACAGCATCGTTGTGTGAAACACATAGGGGTCGTACTTTTCCGCTGGGGAGGGGGGTCGTATTTGGTCGTTGGGAGAGAGGGGTCGTATGTGCTTTGAGAGAAATTTGCTGCGTTGGGAAAAATTTTCCCCGGTTGTTGAGTTTTCGCGTATTGTTTCTTGTTTCATGTGTACTATATACCCCTTTCCCCCGCGCTCGACGGAAAATTTTCGGGTGAAAAACTGGACTGAAAAACGTGGGAAGGTACACTCCATATCCCTGAGACGGAGCAGGCGTGGCATTTGAACATGGCACAGAATGGGTTACCCGTTGGGTATTTCAGTTTGAGACAACTGTTGCCTTGTTCTCTGTTAGACAGAGACACGACCACAGTAGTGTCAAAATGGAAATATCTCATCAGAAGAGCAGCCACCGCCAGGGTCAGTTGAAGTACGCGGCCACGCCTACCACATCTCAGGGATTTCGAGTGTAGGTGCTGGGGAGGGGGGGGGGTGGTACCTACATTACCATTTCACACATCAAAATGCTGTACCCTGGCTGGGTAAACGTATTCCATCCACCTATTCTCCTGTGACAGCCTCCTCTAACTGCCAATTGCTTCGCACTTCAGGGTTTTTTCAGCTGAAAAAGCTCCACACATTTTTGCGAGATAAGTCGAGCAGGTCACGACGTTTTTGACTCGTTAGAGTTTATCATGTCTGGTGTGGGTGGGGGGGGGGACCATTCCCTGGTATGATGACGTCCTTCCCTATCGTCAAAAATACAATGGTTTTCGAGTCGGTCGATGTAAAAAGATAGTATTTTCATCCTCAAGACGCTTCTGGAACCAATCAATCAACACGGACAGGATGCAAGGCTAGGCTGGTCGCGATCGGAGCTGATCCTTAACTGGACCATGAGGGCGTGTTACGCGACGTCATGTCTTCAAACCACCCCTCTCCTCCATTCCATGAAAACAACGAAAAATGTCAGGCACGCAAGAAAATTAAAGAACAAAGAAAACATTCGGGATGTGTTGGGTTTCTCGTTATTGACAGTCACTGACTCAAGAGAAACTTTGTAACAGAACCATCATACTTACCTCAGATATGTGAAACAGTTACCACATTCTCTACGTGTTTAAATGCGCTTTTTTCCACGACGAAACTGGCCACGCCCCCGTTTCACAACATGCAATTTTTCAATTTCTGTCCCTAGAGAAATGTAATTGGGACACCAAACCAAATATTATGTTCGTCTTCCAAACATAATATGTATATACTTGTTTCATCAGACTGTACTGTACAATATCCCCAAGAGAAATTTTTCCAGATTTTCTGATCTTTTTTGGTGACTCCGGGTTTTTGCCTCTGATGCGTCACAAGTTCTGGCGCCACCAGAGGTCACTGGTAGGATGTTTAACCTCGAAATATTATCGCCCTAATTTCGTCGTTTCTTTTGAAAGTACCCGCTCATTGTGTAAGATTAATAGATCTATTTGAAGATAAACCTGGCGCCTGCCCTTTGACTTCAAAACACTTTTATTACTTTGAAGTAGGTTGTGAATAGAGTGTTATACCGCTTACGGGCTCCATCCTGCAATAATTTCACTGGTCATTGAAGACGAACAGTACACTCACGTCCGAGGACAGCCCTTTACACGTGCGGGGTGAATGGGTCACAGATGCAGAAACATGCCACTTCCTCCGGTAAAAAAGCCCGGGAACGGAGAGTAGTAGTCTACCCGGGTGCCGTATCCATACTCAGCCATACTCAATGTGCAGCACTTGCGTCGATACCAAGGTACGCAGCGAGATCCGCAAACAGCGGTGGAGAACAACTAGAAGAGAGAGGGCGCAGACAAGTAGCGCGTTTGGTCATGGTTAGGCTGTGACGGCACAGTTTGACGACGCGGGGGGGGCATTTTGCACTTCTGCTACTTCCCATCGACGTGTCGACCTATCTAGACAGCCTCTTCTCGAGTTGACAGGTTTTAACATGATGGCTTGACGACCTTGTTCCAGCTTCACAAGAGTTCACAGGTTTCGCCAGAGTGAGACATGTAAACCGGAACTAAGGAGCAATGATAAATGCCCACTCCCGTGTCAAGTGGGTTCTTGAATTAGTGGAACGCGAAACAGTTCCGTGTAAAAGCATAGCGTAGGATTACTTGAGAGTTTGCGCCGTTCCAGGGATCAAGAGCTTACGAGCACAATGGGCTAATCAGAATTTATGCCAAAAAGAAAAATTCTTCTCACAGCAATATGCGGCCCTTTCTGGTTATGTGGCAAGAGAATCGTTATGCCGCACCAGTGGGTATCGCGTGTAACGTCACTCCCCTCAATGACGACTGTTGAGGTGGTATTAGTCGAGAATAGACAATGTATGACCAAAAACAGACACCATGTCCTTGTGTCACCATGTCCTTGCCTACATGGAATCCGATGCTCCAATCGAAAGGGTAGTGCAAACTGAGGAAACGTCGCGCCCATTGCCTGCGCGCGACGAAGCGGCAATTTGTGATTCTCTTGCCCGTCTCCCGCCCTTTCTCAGGGGGTCAAGCACGATTCGTATCCCCTCTCCGGGGGACAAATACGAACAACGCTGTGTTTACACAATGCATGGTGAGCCCTAGTTGGAGGGTAAGGCGGGCAGCAGCTGGGTCTGTCACCATGTCTGTACCCTCACACTCTCACCGAATATTGGGGTACAATCGTTTTCGCTGCAGACGCTGGGGCGTGTCAGTGGGGCTGCGTTTGGCGCGGCGCCAGCCCGCTTTCCAAAGCTTGTTGTCCCTTTCCCGTTGTAAGAGCTCGTTGGGAACGGGCTGCCGCCGCCGCCTAAGTCACCCTTCCTCACACGTTCAGCATCTGCAGCAAAGGATTTCACCTCACTCTCCTATTCGGTGAACGGAAGAGGTCACGGGCATGGTGACATGACGGTAAATGCGGCTTCTGCGTGCCCCTACCTTCCAACCAAAGCTCGCCATCCATTGTGCAGAACACAACGGGGTTGTATTTAGCCCCAAAGGGGGACGGACTTTCCAATGAGAAGGATTTCTTTGAATAAACAAATATTTTTTCCGATTGTTGATTTTTCCAGTTTCATGTACACTTTGTATCCATGCCCCCTGTCGACAACAACGGCATTGCTAAGTTATTTGGAAAGACGATTGGTCGCTTGCGGAAAGGAGGGGGGGGGTGTCATAACGCAGGAGAAAATTTGAATGGGCCTATTTTGTAAAAAATTTCTGCTCAGGAATGGCATTTTGTATTTTCTCTAGTTCCTTTTGTTAGCTCACGTTAACTAACAGGTCTCATATTCAATGCGGAAAACGCGTGAAAGGTGCAACTTGGGCCACAGGATTCACCAGGTCTTCACAAGGTGACCTGTGCGAGCTTCAGGCTGAGTACCATTTGGTGTCCTCACCAAGCCATACCGTGTCAAATTTTCCACATAGTGATGGCCCTGCCTCAATTGTCTCGGAGACGCCCACACTACTGTGTCCAAATACATGTCACACCCACAGATACATCCCCCCTTTCCCAATAAAAATCCCCAGAACCATCTTACCAGACGGTCAGTAGGCTAGGTTTTCCTGCACATATTCTTCCAACTACGCCATAAACGCCTTTTTTCACTGGTTTGGCATGACCTGTCCGGATAATTTAGTGCCGAACTTTTTCCTCCTTTATAATTTACGAACGATTTTTGACACCGCTCTAAAGTTTTCCTTTTTCTCGCCAATAACGACCCCGAAGTGCTATTTATGGACGAATTCTGTACAGTCATGGTGTACCGTTATTCAAAATTCGGGCCGCAATGATACGATCTGGAGAAAGGCGGTACTTTGAAGTGGGACAGCGTTTAAAAGCAGTCACACTCGTCGGCACGAGCTCATACCATGACCATACATTTCGAGGAACGACTCATCCGCTATGTGACGTGTACCTGCGCACTGATCGCAACAGTGGCATGTGGTATCGTGATGCCGTTGTTCCTCATGGAAATGCGCGCTATACAAGATACGGTAAGGCATTCCTTCTTCCACACGAGACCATAAAGTCATTATGTCGAGTTCAGGTCCTGGAAGGTGTTCACGATTTCCGAACCGATACTGATTCAGTATGGTTGGATCTGATGTGGCTTCAGAATTCATTGATTACGTCATCGTCGGATGACGTGACGCCACTGTCCCGACTCAAACGGCACACTTACGGCAAACTTCCAAGCTGGTGCCATTGTCAACCGATCAGAGTTGTTTGTCCACCCGGTCCTGCGGGTCCTCCGGGACGTCCCGGACCACCTGGACCACCTGGGCTTCCTGGTCAGTCCTTTTGTAGTTGAGCCTTTCCTTTCGTAATTCTGGTCGCTGCTTCATTTTTTTCTCCATTTGTGGGGGTTTTCGGCGCTCGTGCATTCAAGAGGGCAGTTAAAGGACTCCTTGTGCGAGGACAAGAGAACTTTTTTCCACGTTAATACTTAATGACTCGAGCGAATCTGTCGCGCACTTAAGGCATCGCGCGACCGTGCTCCACCGATAATCGTTGGCCCACGGCAAACATTCTGAAGAAATCCTAATGTGAATTTGAATGAACGGAATTAGCGCGCCTGAAGTGTATCAGTCCAATGGTTAGCCCTTTAGCGCTGTCCATCACATTTGTGAATCGCGCGACCGAATCACGAAATATGAACGCGATCATAACACCAGCGTAGTCGTTGGGTTAGCGCTTCTCAGAGTGGCTAAGGATCCAAATTTGGCGAAGTATTAAATTTGGGAAAAAGCTACGCTCGTTAATATTAGGTTGGTGCATAAGTTCTTGGCCACGACTTTTTCGTAAATATCTCAATAGCGAACCAACCTGAAGATTAGAGGTATGCACCATCACCATGAACTACTCGTCGCCAGCGCTCAGGCAGCTTGTCGATTCCATCCTCCCAGAACGACGGGGGCTGGGATTCGAAGAAGGCCACAATGCCGCACAATCACCACTGTGACATGGTTTTGCACTGGTAATTGTGCGGCATTGTAGCCTGCAAATGCAGGGTGGTGTGATAGCTAGTGTGGTGAAAGAGTATCATGTACACGTCACGCACACGTGATGACGAAATACCAACCTCCATGCAAACGAAATACGGAAGGATCAAAACAGGGGGCCGAGAACTTATGCACCAACCTAATAGCTTCCACAATCTTCTGACTCCGCTCCCATGGCAGGGATCCGCTCACCCCTGTCCATTATATGAGAGTACTGTTACAGCCTTCGCACTCTCGCACTCTTCTTTTCTGACATACAAGGTAATGCTGGGAAAACTACCCAGTGAAGATTGACAGATTGAATGCAGATTTGGAATCGTGGTTCTGGGGCGCAGATCTCGCGTTTCATCTTGCCCCAACCTACAGTTTTTTTATGTATACTCCGTTTACTTTCACAGCTGGCTCTATACTTTTTTCTTTGTTCAGGCATTCCCGACAAGTTGTTATTTATGGACAGTTCAAGTGGTGCTTAAACTGCTGTGATAGGTCTTATGTGATTTGAAATTCTCTTTTGCAGTGCCTCAGGATTGTTAAATCTTATCGAGATTAATATAAGTACAGCTTTTATGGTGAAAAAATCCGATTTTCATCGGTCACCGATTTTCAAGTCAGCGCCC